GTTTAAAATTGAAGTAAATAATTTAGCGAAAATCTTCTCGCCCAAACAGTCCGACATGTAGAATCTATATATTCCACTACTCGGCAGTCATATTTATTTGTGTAGTATTCGGTAATCGACACCGCTAAAAATAGCATTTTCAGTGATTAAAATCAAATTCATCCGCGTAATTTGTGATTGTGCATTTATTGACAATTCTATAAGACAACGCTACTTTTAAACTTTGAATGCGTTGTAATTTGTTGGATACCTTTTACAAAAAAAATATTTCTTTCTTTTAAATCGCTAGTTTTAAGCTGTTTTGGGAACTACTTGTTGTTAGGTTTGTCGGGAAATTCTGTGTCAGCTATGAATTTCCTGACCTTCGGTCAGAAAATACAATAAATCTTCTAAAACGTTGATAAATGAGGAATTACCAACACTTGTTTTATACTAGTAATTTAATATTATGTAATTATTTTGCATTACAAAAAGTATAAAGGAGAAAATTACTCGCTGATGGTGTGATATAGAGCAAGCATTAAAATGAGAAATTGTCCAGATTGTTCAGAGACTGATTTTGGAAGTAGAGAATCCCTAAGATACCACCGTATAACCAAGCACGGTTTTGTCGTATGCGATTGTTGTAGAAAATTTTTAAAGAGGAGAGATATGGAACAGCATAGAGCAATGAATAAAGTTCATAGACCAGGTTACTATACAGGGAAGTATCAATGTGCAGGGTGTATCAAACGTTTTCCAAAAGAACGAAGTCTTTTAGACCATCAAAGAAGTTTTGGCCATACAGGAAAATTAATATTGGACGCCAGCGAGGACTTTTCTAATCAATTTGGTTCTTCAGGTTCCCTGGTAAAGGCATTTCAAGGATTAGCTATTGCTCCAAAGTCTGACCTGTATATGCTACAGAGAGATGAGATTGACACATTTATAGCTAACTACATTCAAGTGGATTCACCATTCCATGACTGCTGTGGAGAAGTGATAGACACCCTTGTGAAAAAATTGCACCAAATTGTGGAGTTTGCTGCCAAACTTGAACCAAGGGAGATTCTCAAGGTAAGTGTAATTTCATAAAGTTTATTCTTGTGTGTATAAACTCACTTATAATCACATATATCTATATATAAAATAGTCCTGTCAATTATGTGGAAAAAAACTTCAGAAAATGGGAAAAGCACTAAACTTGTTACAAATAAACTTTAGGCTATATAAGAAAAAAAATGAGTATGGGCCCAATATGGCGGAAAAAATTAAAATGGTCGCCATATCTGTTTAAAATTTTCAAAAACGTGTATTTTTACTGACTTGATAAATCATTAAATATAGGCTAATGTAAACATAAAAATAGTTGTTATCATTATTTTAACAGTGCCTCGTTTCCTATTGTAGAGTTTTGACATTGATGTCTTCTAAATATGTTAAGACATCTTCTGTTTAAAACATTTTTTTATCTTTTTTGTTTACAATGTTCATTTGTAACGAGGAGATACTTAAATAGATTAAACAAAGGTACATAAATTCTAGTACGTAATATTTCATAAAAGATTTACAGTTCTTTGGTTACATTTGGGACATGATCAAGACAAGCAAACGGAAATAAATTAGCGCTATCTTATCTGCCCATTAAACAAGGTCGTGTGTCGAAATTTTATCTTATTAATCATTGTAAAAGGGTATAAGGAAAAAATATGAATAAGAGAAACATAAGCTAGGCGGAAGATTTTAACAGTTTTTTTAGTATTTGAATTGTCATATCATAATAAATAATGCAATGCTTTTTAGTATCTGCAAGAAAACACGTAAAAGGCATAAATATAATTTTTATGACACATATATATGATATACATTTTGTTAAAGTATGCGTTATAGTTAATACATGTCAATCAAACTTATTCTAAACTCTACCTTTTTTCATGAAAACACCTGTGCATTAATTTTGTAGTATAAGCATACAATTAAGGGCTTGATTATTTTGTAGAAATTTTTGTTTTGTAGACTCTGATTTCGACACACCGTTAATGAAATAACTATTTTTAAACACTTCACATTGGTTTTCGATTAATTTGAAATAAACCTTTAAGACTAATCTAGCTTGTAGTTGCTTGCCTTTTTATATTATGTCTCAACTTACACTAACTCATTATTGCGAAAGCAGAAACACCAACCTTATTTACCGTTTGAATGTATCAAAATGGGTCAAAGACAGAAAAGGTCGGGTTACCTTTCTATGCCAAATATCATGATGCTGTAATGATACGAAAGAAAAAATCACTGACCATTAATGTGGAAAATTTAACTTAGTCAGTTAACAGGAAGTATATGACCGGCAGATCTAAAATCGAATCCCACTGTATGGGACCATGTGTCATGCTGTATGCCAACTATCAAGAGGCTGTGATAAGAAGTTGCTGAGAAAACTGTTACGAAAATTTCCTACCACTGACCATTAATGCCGAAAATTTAACTAAGTCAGTAAACAGGAAGTGGATGAACGACAGACTTGAAATCAAACCAACGGTATGGGACCACATGTCTATGCTGTTTGCCAAATATCAAGAGGCTGTGATAAGTAGTTACTGAGAAAACTGTTACGAAAATTTCCTACTACCAATGACCATTAATGTTGAAATTTACCATTGATCATTTATGTCGAAAATTTAACTAAGTCGGTAAACAGGGAGTGGATAAGCAACATACATGAAATCGAATCCCACGGTGTGCGACCATGTGTCAATGCTGTATGCCAAATATCAAGAGGCTGTGATTAGTAGTTGCTGAGAAAACTGTAACGAAAATTCCTAGCATTGACCATTAATGTCGAAAATTTAACTAAGTAGGTATAAACAGGAAGTGGATGAGTGACAGATCTGAAATCAAATCCCACGGTATGGGACCAGATGTCAATGCTGTATGCTAACTATCAAGAGGCTGTGATAAGTAGTTGCTGAGAAAACTGGTACAAAAAGGTTTTCCGCCCGCCCGCCATTCACCATACTACAACCCGGGTTTGCACCTGTGCAACCTGGCCAAAAATTGAATAAATACCCCTCTTCTTTCTGTAATGCCACGTCACCCTTAATTATATGTTAATTCCCAATTCGGTGCCCCTATTATAGCTTTTATTATATTTGGTTACTGTGTTTTATGACCGTTTGCCTCCGCTTGCATGTTTTCAAATATCCAAAAGGCATATCCAGACCTGATAAGTTTTTATTTTTAAAACATTGCAAAATCATCAGCCTGTTATATGTAGAGTGGGCATTTTTGCCCTATTCTATTTTAAAATAAAAAAAATAGATAAAAATAAAAATATATAATTAACAGAAAACAATGGACATACATGCTAGATAATTTGCCGTACCTTAATTGGCACGGTTATATTTCTGATGTTTGCAAGAATCAAGATATACCACCAAACCCAAGGCGGGAAAGGGATTGGTAATTGGAAATTATACGAGTGTAAGTAGGTCTTACTGTCCACCAAAAAATCAGGTTCTTGGGTAATCCTCTTAATCCTTCCAACTCTTGATCATGATAATGAGCACAAAATTACACTCGGATCAATGTGTGATGGATGTGTTGTTTTTGTTAATTGAGAATATTTCTTAGTCAGTTGTTTGTTAGATTTTATTGTTTTAGCTCAGAAATTGACCAGACTTGTCAACAAGTTCCAAATTATCATTGTCAAGCTTAAACAAGACTAGAGTCAAAGGCGTGATATTCATCGCCATTATCAACAATGTTATTTCCAAAATTGATTGTAGTTTTTGTTTTCTGCTTTGTCTGTAAAATTATCGTTGGCAGTGTCCTTTTCCACATATTTAAAGCCGTTTTATATCGTATCAATTTGTCTAGTAACAATCCAAATTTTATTCTGGAGAATCCGTGGCCTGTTAAAGTTAACCTCTTTTTAATTCTTTATGTAACAATACACTTCACTTATTGATAAGTAAGCTTAATCGTCTAGTTAGGATTCAATCACATACATTAAAAATAATAAAAATATTCAAAGTTCACAAACTGTTCGGAAAAAGTAGACTGTTTTGTTATTTCACTGTAATTTTCCCTACGGAAACAGAAACAATACATTAAAATTATTATTTTTAACTATTGCTTTTAATTATAAGTAATGCAAATCTCTCATGTTAAGTGAACTGGGATAATTTCCAGTATTATTTTAACTATAAGCAGCTGGTACTGGAAAGTGTTAATTTCATGTATGGCAGCCATTTAAAAAAAATGGCTGCAATGGCAACCATCTTGCCATGTATAAAATTGGTCCCATGCCAAAAATGTTTTTTTTTTGTTTTAATTTACATTTGTACCAAGTTTCATGCTTTTCCTATTTCATGAATTATTTTAGCATATTTTGTTATAAATTGACTGGACTAAAACGTTTGAATCAATACCGGAAAAATCGAAAGTCTGTGGAAAAATAAGTTAAGAACATATCGGCCTTACGGAAAAAACATTAACGAATAACGCGACAGACGGCGCACAACGCCATGGTAGGCGTCGCTCAATGACGTTGTGTCACTCCCCTTGTCTTGTATGAATATATTTGTATGTACAATAAATGCCGCTTAAGAAGGCAAAGCCGAAAGATCATTCAAATAAGCTTTTTTTGATTATATATAGCAAATTAGAGATTTTATCCTTATCATATGTACATAGTTGATCATATCACTATTTTCTATCACCAAATTCATCAAATGTGATCAGTTAAAGCCATTACTCTTCAGAATAAACATTCCACCGTTTCCGCCCTTACTAATAATATAACAATATTTCCTTTGCAATTTAAAACATTTTGATTGCTTAAAAAATTTTCTTAAAACAACGAAAATTTTTAGATTTTTTGGATATCGTTTTAATGATAACAATCTTAACAAAAAAATGAAAGGATATTAATAAAAATAAAAATTTAATTAAAAATTTTTATATAAATAATATAATTTAAAACAGGATATTAGGCAAGGGAAATGCAGTGAAAAAGAGAAAAATAGACCTTGTGATGATCCTGAACAATTATAAAGATCTACAACAATTGATGGTAGATATGGAAGGACTACTTGGAGATCTAGAGCGTTATTTGTCGAGGTGTACTCAAGCCAGACCTAAACGAAAAACACGGGGTTCCGTGCAGGTACAGATAACGTGTAGTTCTGGACATACACGCGATGCTGACATATTGCCAGCAGTAGATCTGCTTGGATTAGGTTTGGATTTATATTTTCGTATTTTTTATGATTTTTCATAATATGATATGAATAATTCATCGGTACTGTTATAAAAGTAAGTACTGTTACATAAGATAAGTTGTAAATGTCCAAATTGCTTTGTTTCGAATCAAATATCCCATTTTTAAAATTAAAACTCGTCTATTTCACCCAGGACATTCTCGAACAGAAATATTCCAAAAGACGCAATACGCTTATGTAAATATCCATGAACATGCGGTGACACTGGCGCCTCTACCTTCCCTTTTAACCACAACACCTTTAAGATTGTCTAAAAGATGCAAATGAAATATAGCATGGATATGGTCCATATCAGGTAAGACTAAAGGAAAATTGACCAAATCAATTTTTTTTTCACATGTTATACACTTTTAAAATGCTGATAGCAGAGGAAGATTTTTACCGTATTCTGAACAATAGGACGATATACTGTTGTGGATATTTTAGCCAAATTATTAATTGATTCTTTTCGTATATAGGTACTTTAGAAAATAGATAAAAACGATTTTGAAAAGTGAATCATGATGGTATATTTTTAACGTCATGGCAATTCTAGAAATTTTCTAAATGCAATTTTATACCAGACATTTATCGTACATCTTAATTACAGTAAAATGCCGTATATCATGGACCCAGCCAACCCATTTAACGACATGTATCATGGCCTTGTCGGTGGCAAAGCTTTCGATTATGAACAAGTAGTGCCGGAAGCCAAACTCTGGCTAAGTAAACCTTTATTCTTTGGTGTCAACACATCAAAGTTATGGTAAAACAGAACTCGGATGTAATGAACAATGAGCTAAATATTAGCTAACAAAGAAATAAATATTAGCACATGAAGTGTCTCTATAAAAGTATTAGATTATAAACAATAGTGAATTGTTTGAGTTAAGTTGAGGTTAAGGTGATACGGAGAGGTGTTTCAATTTTTCAGTTTACCAAATTTATTGTCAAAAATATTTTATTTATTTCCAATACATGTAGATGTACATAAAGACTATTTAATTTGAAATAATATTTCAAATAATGTTTAGTTTCTCCCCGCACTTCTATCAACTACTTGATAATGATTTTTTATTTAATGTTTTTTAAACATACAAGGCAGATAATTCATATTTTAACAATGAAACAAAATGTGTATATTTATTTTCTAATAACATATATCTCCTTTTTATATCTGAATACATGTATAATAAGGTTCTGATTTCAGAAGTGTGCGCATGTCACGAATAAATGAATAAATGAATCACACCTTTGCATATTATATTACATAACATTTATGCAATGCGCATTTCGATTTTCGGAAAACATCTTTACGATAATAACAATATGCCCTTCGTCCTTTCAAGATTAAACGTTACGTTACGCAAGCATATGCAATTTGCAATATGTCATGTGATCACATGATTGAAATGCTTTTGTAAACATCGTAACTATTGCTTCAGAGTTTGGTTTTATGTTAACATTATAACAAAACCGTACATTTGTATATTCTATGATAATATTAGGTCAGGAACATTTTTGATAATATGCTTCTCATCTAATATGCAATAGTTCAAATCCTATAAAATTTATATCTATATCACGTACTCTAGCGTTTTATCTCAATAAGTACAGATACATGTATGTAAACATTTATTTTGCCCGTTTTTGATTTGTTGTCACATATTATATTGATTATAGATAGACAGATAAGGTTTTACATGTGTCAGATTATTTCTCATCTAATTTGAAATACCTATTTTGAGAAATTTTGAAAAGGAGAAATTACAAAAGAAAAAATATGTATATAGTTCGCAATAAAAAAAATCAAACGTTTTTGTACTTGAAGGAGGCTTATATAAATAATTATCCATTTCGTTCATGATATTTTTACAAATATATTTTAATATCTTATTAGCTTTTTGTTGCATAAACATATGTAATATGTTGAATACATGAATTTGTTGACAGTCAAGAATAGACTACTTATTGACCACATTGGAACGTTCATTATTTTCTTCCGTTTGCCTTTGCACACGTTTTGCTTTATATTGATTTTCTTTTTGTTGTTTTCTGTGTCACAAATTTGATGTCATTAAAACACCTATGCAATCAAACATTGTCTTAATTTTCTTTCATTGAATGGCACAGAAGTACAATATTGAATGTTTTTAAAATTTAACGAGGTATAAACACATCTGTGGTAGATTTAAATCCAAAACCATTTTCATGTGTAACAGTTATTGTTTTATTCTGCTTAAGCCGGTGCTAGGATCGTGAACGGCAGCTCGCAAATACAACTACCGTCAATGAACAAACTCAATCAAACCAAACTGCAACAATTTCAATTTTAGACGTCTTTTTTCATTCTTTAGGGTTTCTGTTTTTCTCTGTTATTTCATAACTTATAAACTTATAACTTATTTATATTTATTTAAGTATTTCTTTTCTTTATAAACGCGCTGGTCATGCAAAAACATTATTTAAAAGCATTCACAGATTACGTGTCAATGTGAGTTAAACACATTGTATAACGTAGTGAAAAGACCCCTAGTACATGTTTATCTATTAAAGGTAGGTAATAATTCGCCAACAATATTTCAAATATAAATGCCTAGTATTCCATAAAAACATGAAATGATAATTATACAAATTTGGTCAACAATATTAAATCGATCATAGCATTGTTTATCGAAATGAATATTTACTCGTAATGAACCTAATTGCTGGTACCAAATAAAAATAAGTTAATTGTAATAATCATCTCTATCATTCTTTATCATTAAAATGAATTTATGCATGAATAAACTTACTGAAACGGTAATATATTTGTAAATGGTGCTCTCTCTCTTTATTTTTGTCAAATAAGTTGAATTCTATGTTCATCTTTAGAATAGTAAATGCAATTTAAAGCATGAGATTGAATAGTTCTACATTGGTTTTTGCATTATATGTTAAAGACGAGAATAAAGATTACTGCCACGGGATTACCTCTTGAGACATGTATTTTTAAAATCATAACATAGCAAAGTGATTAAGTGATTTGTGGTAGCTATGAAACGTTGTCCATTTTATCCCTGTGTCAGTACAACTTGTATTATCACTGTGGATGATAGATTTTCTGCCAAAAGTGAATACTGTGTGTACACTGTTGCTCGATTATCGTTGTATTTTTGTGTCTACTGCATAGACTCATTTAAACAGATTGTGTGACCTTCTATAAATAAATAAATAAATAGAGGGTGCTTTGGCAAAGGTACTATGGCACAAAGTTCACCTTACGTTTCTATGCAAGAATTAGTGTCTACACTGATTTAAAAAAACAGTACACGACATATATATTTATATTTGATAATCAAATATTGCTATATTACATGATATTTATTGTCGTATTTGCCTCCAAGGTCTTACGAAGCGGATAATAAGATATTGAAACTGGTGTCAGTTATGTAGCTTATTCTGGACACAAGCTTGTCCAGACCGAACATATTTAGACATGATATATAACTGCCTTGGCAAATTGTCTACATAATGTATTGAGATTGTCCAGAATCTTTACAAAAATTTAAACATTTTTTTGATTGATACTATGGCATAGATGGTGTACGGACATAATCCCATTCGGACAAAATCCCCTTCGCATACCCGGACAAAATCCCCTTGTTTCTTAGGTTTCTAATGTATTATTATGCTCCATAAAAATTGATGAATAATGTATTATATGGATGAATAACTTTTGCTTTTTGATTTATAATTGTGTATCAAGTTAACCTTTATAATTATATAAGCTTGATAAGACATTTTTTGTCCAGTCTATAAATTCTGAAAGATGGTGAGGCAGAAATAAAGTGTGCAACACTGTCCATCTAGCACAGGCCTTAGCAATATAGGACTGGTGTTGAAACCAATATTCCCAATTAAAGTACCAGTGATTTTTTTTCAATTTTCAAAACAACCTGTGACTTTCTGAAGGAATAAATATAGCATATGAAATCAAAAAAGGGAAAGTCAAATTCCAACAACTGAGAATGAAAGTTACCCACACATTTTATAAAATTGTCAGAAAGTTACCCACAAAATTTTATAAAATTCAGTTCAATTTAACATTTATGGTACATAGCAGAGGCTACCTATAGGACAGCTTTCTGTCTTGTGGCTGATTCAAGGCAGCTGCAACCGTGAAGAATGTGCACAGGGCATTTTAGGGGAAAATATTAGCTCTTTTGAGGAAAATATACCCATTTTCGGCTAGGGGAAACAGCCTTAATTTGGTTGTAAAATACAGGGAAAAAAATCATTGAGTACAAGCAATCACCACACAGCATAATGCAGTATGTCGCTCTCATACCCACTTTATAAACAGAAAATTCATCCGAGGGGGATTTTGTTCTAGGTAGCAATTTTATTGAGGGGATTTTGTCCACTTCAAATTTCACTCATGAAGGGGATTATGTCCACCCATGGAGGGGATTATGTCCAAATGTACAAAAATACATGAAGGAGATTTTGTCCAAAGGGGATTTTGTCTTTCCGATTAATCAATAATTGTCTTAAATTTTGTGAAGAAGAATAAATCGGCACGCATTAATCAGCGCGTTATGAAAGCATGGGAAGTGTCTAAATCCCGTCAGAATATATTTTATTCCATAGAAATTACACTCTGTGATATTTACTGTGTTATAGATAAATTTTAAGAAAATCTTAAGAATATTTTAAACCTTATCTAAAATTATAAATTTATCATCAAAAAAAAAAAAAAAAAAAAAAAAAAAAAAAATTCAAGTTAAGTTTCAATATAATTATGTGTTACTTGGGCGAAGAGGCTACGATAATATTCATATAACTGTCAAGTCAAGTGAGTTACCTCCCGTTTATAAGACAAATGATCAAAAAATACTGAATTACTATAACTTTACTAACTGCCAAGAAGTAACAGAAGAATAAGATGGTTTAGGTAATTTGCCAATGAGTAACGTTTTGGTCACTATAAACTTAGACCAAAATTAAAAAACGTTTGAAAAATTAAATACATTTAAAAACATATTTTGGGATTTGGGGAATAATGGGCCTTTAAAAGGGAATTTTAAGATAATTGTTACAATTAAGTCTGAAAATTTGTTTATAATAAGCACAGTTTATTTTTATGTAAATATTTATTTTATTTTTACTTATAACTTTCGAAAAATCAAATAATAACATTTTTGGGATTTCAGGAACAATGGGCATTTAAAAGAGAAATCTAAGATAATTGTTACAATTAAGTCTAAAAAAATTGTTTCTAATAAGCATAGTTTATATATATATATATATTTTTATTATATATTTACATTGTTATTATTACTAAATAATTTATATAATTGTAGTAGTGAAAAAATATCTAAAATTTATTGCTTTTCAAAACATTCTAATGAATAAAATGAAGAAATATGGGAGCTAATCTTTTATGCTATAATAATGTTTGAAAAGAAAGAGATTTAAACACTTTAAAAAGAGCATTCAAATGCTCTATCATGTTAATGAAAGAGGCGTCCTGGAGGATATAGAAAGTCTATTTATTGCAATTGATTGGCAAAGTTATTAGTAGTATTGTCAACTACTGAAAGTATATCATTATTTATGATTAAATCGGCGTCTTAATGCAATTGAAAGGAAACGATATCTTCTGCAACCGGCATGCATTCTATGCCAATGCGAAACAGATACTCGATATTTAGTCCATATGAACGTACAAAGGAAGACAAATATCAAGAAACAACAGGAATCATTGATTACTCCCCTTGCTTCGATTTGAAACTTAGAAAACTGACAGCGAAGCCCCCAACTGCTATACGGCTGCATGAAAATTATAAGATCATGAAGAAATATTTCATTATTTTGCAATAGACGTATAAATTCCATATACTTTTTAAAATACGTTGATCAAAAGACAAATGCATTACCAGAGCGTAATATAATTCACGTTAAATTTATACATTTTTAACAGATTAAGACCATAATGTTGATTTTATATTTTGAATTGTTTCTCTAATCTCTTCTATAATTATGTCAATCAACAAAAGTAACAGCATTATCATCTTTTCAGAAACACTGTCACGTTTTGAAGACTGAATGTTAACTTTCAACATTGAAATGAT